TTTCTTCCCGTTTCTTCAATTTATATGCTAGCCACCTCTCTGGTTTGTTCCCATTCTCATTTTTTAAAATTTGCTTTCTTTATATACTGTGCCAATTCTTCTTCGAGGATGTTCAGCTTAGGTTTCATTAAGTCCATTTGCCCTTTTAGACTTCTTTTTTGTGGCTTCTTTTGTAGTTCTGCCTCTAAAGTCCTATATTCGTCTTCCTGATCTTTTAGTTTTTGCTTCTTGCTTTTGTTTTTCCTAGCCATAAATGATATAGCGATACCCCTCATAAATGCTTTTGCCGTATCCCATATATTTTGTATGGATGTGTCTTCTTTCTTTTATTTTCTTTGAAGAAAAATCCCAACTCTTTGTTGATCTTCTGGATAAAATCTTCATCTTTTAAAATTGTTTGGTTAAAGATATGTATTCCGAAAGTCTTTAATCAAAGTTTGGACTGAACTAAGAACGAATCATTACACTAAAATCCCGAGGTGGTTTTCAATGATGGAGGCAATGTTCCATTTAAATACTACCAAATATTAGATAGCGAGGGAAGAATTAAAACAAAACAGAAATTAGAATTACAAAAGATAGCTATTGATAATTGGTCATATTTTCAAATAAAATCGAGATACAATAAAGATGTAAAAGAATATGGAATTGAGGTAAAAGATACATATTTGGATAAAATACTTCTAAATCCTGAGAAAAGTTCAATTTTCAAATTATATAATTATTTGTTAGAATATGAAATGGCTGAGAAAATTGTGAAAGGTGCCGTGTTGGCTTGGGAAAAAACTTTGGTTATAGCATTGATCTGGATTGGAAGAAATCGGGCAGAAAAATTTGACTCTAACCAAATCAGTAGCGCACAAGGAGAATTTATACAAAATGATGTACAGATGGAATCTGGTGCCCTCCAGATTGGCAAAAATATTTCTGACAGCCAATCCTTGCTGTTGGAAATGTAAAGGGAAATTTGGTACATACTTTTATTCATGGTGGACTTGTCCTGAGATAAAGAAATGGCTAAAAATAAAAACGTGGATAGAAGAAATTATAGAGAGTAGGCTGGAGTGGAAACCGGGACTAATTTTGTTGGGAATGATTAAAGGGGAATACCCCTCTAAAGTAAAATATCTGACCATCCATTTATTAACTGCAGCACCTATCTCACTAGCACAATATTGGAAAAACCCAAATGCACCACCAATACAGGTTGTTATTCAGAAAAGATATGAATGTGCCCAACTGGAGAAACTTACACTTAAGATTAACGGGAAGGAGGATACAAATTATTACCATATATGGAATAAATGGCATAAGTGGGTAGACAATAAAAGGGGAAACATATAAATGAACCTAAGATACAAATTATATCCAACGATTCATAATATATTAAGTACAATTAAAGGTTTTAAATTTCTTTTCTTTGTTACTACTATTATTAGTATTAGCTATTTATAATATTTTTGTGTTTATTTGTTAAAAAACATGAATGTATTAGTAATAGAAGAGTGGTTATAATCCAATGTGAAAATAAATGGAGTATATTGTGAATTATTTAGTACTTAGGATGTGATAAGGTATGAATATGTGACTAGTACTAGCCAATAATGATTTTTAGGATTCACCAAATTCGACAACAAAAAGTAAAAAACTATGTGTTATTACTGTTTCTGTATTTCTGAAATTGTACATTTTTAAATTTGTAAATAAAATTGTTTGGTTAAGTGTTCATCTTGAGCTTTTTCTTTGCCCTCTCCAGGTGATTCTCATAGGATTATGTTCTGCCCAGAGTTTGTGTCTATTTCCACTTCCTTTATTTCTGAGATTAGCTCCATCGATGTCCAAACCATATCTATTCTGGACCAGGATTCATGTCTGTTCGAATAGTATGTATATTGTTTCCTCTCCCAGTTCCTCTCTCTCCATATGTCCTGAATGTTTAACTCTTTTGCCATTTGAAAAACGTTCTGGATAATTAAGTCTTAATATTATGTTGAGAAAAAACTGTTATATGATTGATCACTAGTAATGAACATTATTATGATAATGAAGACTATCGCTCAAACTAAGTAACCAGACAACAAACTGTTTATACAGACATTGAAATTGTTGCTCTTTCTTTATATAGTAAAAGTTAAAAAAAATTACCAAAAAAAAAACAAAAAACCAAATGCCTCACCACAATCGGACAAGATCTCACAAACAAGTTAGAACATGGCATCAATAAAATATCCAACAAACTCCAAACCATGACACTCTGCAAAAGAAACTTGCCAAGATTACCCCACAGCACAAGATGACAACTTTGACACATGGATGAAAAACCTATCCAACAGAACATTATCAAAAGAGGAAAAAGCCGTACTCACAAATGGCCTCAATTTCAACCAGAAAAATGTGCACCTGGTCAACTTCTTACTAATCTAGAATCCATACTAAAAACCAACAACCTCGATCATGAAATGCAGGAAGACATCAAACAGAGGATCATCCCCAAAATCCAGAGGAACAGACAGAACAGGTCTCAACGAAGAGGAATGGCACGCACTAAAAAATTGAAAAAGGATGCCATCCTGCCAACAGACAAAGGTAGACTCACCATCATAATGGACAAAACTGCTACATCAACAAAACCAAAGACCTACTGCATGACACCAGCATAAAAAACAATAGCAAAACAAAATATAACATATTTTTTGGAGTATAAGAAACTCTGAAGTGTAAGATGCACCTAGCTTTTGGGGAGGAAAACAAGAAAAAAAAATCTGCTTCTGTCTCCCAACAATTTGCCTCCTTGAAAACAGTAAAAAGCCACATCCTGATGAGCACCAGCAGCTGATTGTTGGTTGGATAGGCCTCCCAACAATCAGCTGTTTCAGGCTTCAGGGATTGCCATAGCCTAATACTGCCTCCGCGCGCCCCATTTTCAGTCTCCGCATCCCGTTTTCAGCCTCCGCATGCCCCATGTTCTGCCCATTCAGGGCTATTTGCTGCAAGGAGGCAAACTGCTGGGAGGCAGAGCCAAAGGGTGGGCAACAGCGAGTGGGTGGGGCTTCGGCAACATTTGCTGTATAAGATGCAGACATTTCTACCCACTTTTGGGGGTGGAAAAAGTACGTCTTATACTTTGAAAAATACGGTAAAACACTCTGATGACAATGGAAAAAGCAAAGCAAATAACTTTACAAAGTATAAAAAATAAATAAAGTTCCAGGGATTCCCCGAGGAACCCCCTACACCCCATTGTAGCACTCCCTGGAGCACCAACCTACAAACTAGTGAAAGCACTACAAAAAAGACTTTGTCACTTCGTTGATGGTTCGACACTTTCCAATGAACACTGAACAATTCCTTCAACTAATCAAAAACATCCAAATAAACACCAAAGCAATGATCTCCTTCAATACTACTGCATTATTCACTTCCATTAATATTAACCTAGCCAAACAAACACCCACAACCTGCTCACAGAAGACAAAAACACACCCAGAAAACACTGTCTATATCCACAGATGTGCCTGACAATACATTTCAAGTTTAACAGCAAGATCTACAAGCAGATACAAGGCAGATCCCTGGAATCATACATATCCAGCCTCATAGCTGAGGCAGTCATGCAAAAACTCAAACACACTGTCCTGCCAACCATCCAACCTAAACTTTGGGTCTACATGGACTACAACTGCTACATTCATCACCCTCAAATGATCCAAACTAGAAAAGACATATCGTCTTCTCAACAACATGTTTACTGACATCAGCAAGGAAGGTAAGGATGAACAACTCTTAAACTCAACTTCCTTGACATGGGCATATGTATGATCTCAGAAATCATAAGAATGGTGAAACTTGTGTATACCTGAAATCCATGCACATAAAATAAAATCCTCAACTTTTCCAGCAACCACCCCACAGAACATAAAAGAAGCAGTGTCCAGACCTCTTCAAGAGAGCCAGAACACACTGCAGCACCAAATCCCTAAGAAAAGCAGAGGACAAATACTTCAATATTTTTCTCTACAATGGCTACCTCAGGAATTTTATACTGCGATGTATAACACCAGCCTCAAAAAGCCACACAGAAAAGCGCAAAGGCACATCAGAAATGGCTGTCAGGCTACTGCAACCCCTAGGAATAACAACAGCTCACAAATCCAGTTTTACATTCAGACAGAAACTTACAAAGGTCAAAGAGAGAACATGGAAGGAAGACAGCACCAACATTATACAGAATCAGTTGCAACAATTGTAACCAGTTCTACATGGGGTAGACAGGATCACAGTTAAAAAACAGAACCCATGAACACCCTAGTAGGCTGTCAAATGGCATGATGCAAAGTCCCTGGTCACCAGTCACACCAAAAACAAACAATACCTGTTTGATTGGGATAAAGCCAAAGTCATCGGCCACACCAAAACCCATCAGGCACATGAGTTTTTCAAAGCCTGGCATTCTATCAATGGGTCCATCAACAAACACACTGACTTAGAACCAGCATAAGAAACAATAAGGAAATGGACCATCCCTACCACCAACTGGCAACAGCATCAACCACCTCCTCACCAGTTAAATTCCATGCCTCACAGCAACTAGTCAGAAGTCACCAGAATCAGTCTTGTGACCCAGTCAGTTTTGTGATTCAACCAGTCACAAGACAAACTGACCACCCAGGACCTATGTAAACAAACTTCACCCCAAACCCCACTGAAGATATTACCTAGTTTGGTAATGAAATATCTGACAGTCAAGCAGCAAGCTTGGAGGACAAACCTCTGCCTGTAACTTGTTTTAACAATTCATAATCATTTTTTACTTACTTATATTTCAAATTTAAATTTTGGTAATGTAAGCATGCAATGTAAGAAAAATATTCATGATAGATTTTTTATGTTTGATTTTTTTCTATAAGTAACTGAAGACTGAACAAAATTTCTGCTCTACAATGAAAGAATACAAGATATTAAAATGGAAAACAATTGATTTACCCTGTTATCCACAGTACCTGAGGTATCAGAGGAACTGCTCACTTTCTTGGATGGAACTGATTTAGCAGCACAATTTGCTGAAAAAGCTTTAGCAGAGCATTTGACCAAAACTTTCTTTTCTTCTTCAGAGCTAGACTCTAAATAAAACACACATAGCTTTTATTTATACTGGCACATTTAATTTTACCTCAAAAATGTTGCAAGGTATTGACAGCATTTTATATTTGGCTGCTTGTAACTATTAACGCTATACAACTGCCTAATAGAGAGATCATATGACAGGGTATTTACCTGAATCACTCCCTAAAGAAGTATTTCCTTTTTGGATAGAAACAGGAAGAGATTTGAGGGCAAATGCTTTTTTAATCACAGACCCTTGAGCTAGAGACAAAAATATAAAGGTTTCATTATATTCCCTGTGACAATTCCAAGATAAGAGTTCATAGATATTCTTTCAAGCTGGGATCATGCAGCAACATCTACAGGTACTACGGCATCCTAGTTGTCTTCAGCAGAGATAATTGCAAATACTTTTTATAGATTGAATAAGAACTATCTGTTCTGTTTATGCTAAGTTCATTATAACATTTAGGGACTATGTGTTGTTAATGCAAAGTACCTTTTTATGAACCTAATAATATGCAGTGTTTTACTGACTTACCCCCAAAATAAGACCTAGCCTGATTCCCTGCCCATACCTAATATAAGTCCTAGTTAAGACCTGCCGACTCCACACCACTGCCGCGAGGTCAGGTAAGTGAGGTGGCAAAGTGGGTGGAGCTGCCTCACATGCCCTGTACCCGTACACCTCAGGACCCCCATATAGCCAGGCCACCCACATCCCAACATTTTAACCAAGCAGGAGGCCAAGTGGCACACAGCCATGAAGCAACGTGAGGGGGGTTGGAACTGCCCCACATGACCCACCCCGTGCACCTCAGGACCCCTGCAGCCAGCCCATCCATGTCCCAATGGCAGCACTAGCAGTCCTGTCCAGCAGAAGCCCACGAGGCCACCAGCCCACTTCTGCTTGCTCAGGCACAACCGAGTAGGAAGCACACACAGACAGTTTGTATTGGATCCCTCTCCTTCCTTCACTCCCTCCCTCCCTCTCTCTCTCTCTCTCACACACACACACACACACATTGGATTGGATCACTGTCTCTTTTCCTTCCTCCCTCCCACCACGCAGCAATAGTTGGTCCCCGTTTTCTAACCAGCCTGCATCGCTCTAGCCGGCCTGCTTCTTCAACCTTGTATTCCTCCTTTATATGGAAGTACATTAAGCTCCGGAAAAACTAGGCCACCTGGAGCTGGGTGATGAATGCCAGCCTCCCCTTCCGCAATGGTTCTGCAAAGCCCTTGAGGCTTTGTGTGGAGGAGCAGCTCGCTTCCTGGAGGGTTGGCCTCAGCACCCGCCTCAGGTGGCAAACAGAGGAACCTTGCTCTATTTTTTCAGGGCTTTTAAAATTGTGGCCCCCCACCCCCCTGCTTTTCAGTCTCAAAATCCAGAGCACATGTTTTCCTCCTGATCAGTATGATTTTTGTAAATAAATAAATAAATGAGGAACACAATGCCGCTTGGAGAAACAGCAGAAAAGGGGATTGCCATTTCTAGAACGGAGATGTGGGATGATGCAGGCCAGTGAGAAAGTGGGGACCGGCGATCGCTGCGCAGTGGAAGGAAGAAAGAGCAATCTGATCTAACCACTGTGTGTGTGTGCCTGTGTAAGAGAGAGAGCACACATCACTGCCAGCCCTGGTAGAGTTATCTTTGAGGTTGGATCAGATCTCTCTCTCTCTCTTGGATCAGATCTCTCTCATTCCAAATTGGATTGCTCAAGTATTGTCTGAAAATGTTTCCCTGAGCCTAAAACCCTGCTAAGGCTAAAAAGCCTTTCTTCTTCTTCTTTACATATATCGTAGGGATCAGATGTCGCCCTCTCTCTAATGGAGAATAGTGCATCCTTTCCTATATTTGAAATTCCTTCTATAAATCAAGAAAAAAATGTCTTCATTAAAAAGAATGTATCTACCAGAGGACTATATTTCTTATATAAATATAGTTATTTATGAAACATACTTGATGGTCTCTTTGTGAACACTTGCTTTTTTTTCTCATTATTCTTTTCCTTCTTCTTCAAGATCTTTTTAATGAGGTGTGCTTTGCCTTTCCTTGATTCTGTGGCTAAAGGGGGTGGCACAGCAGAGTACTCTCCTGCAGTGACAGACAGCAGGGAGGAAGGAAGAGAGGAACAGCCACACACAAAAACATATATAGGATAAACCAAAATTTAGGTCTTGCAGACATTATATGTACATGATTTAACTACATTAATTGCATTAAATGTTCAAATCATTTGCCATTTTCTTCTAAACTGATTAAAGCTTCTGTACAGGAAGGGAGAGTGTCCCAGCACTTTAAGGAGGCTGTGGTCCGCCCTCTTCTTAAGAAGCCATCACTGGAACTCCACCCGGTTGGATAATTTCTGACCTGTCTCCTATCTTCCCTTTTGGGGGAAGGTTGTTGAGAAGGTGGTCGTGCAGCAGCTCCAGAGGTTTCTGGATGAAACGGATTATCTCGACCCCTACCAGTCAGGATCCAGGCTTCGATTTGGGACAGAAACAGCATTGGTCGCACTTTTGGATGATCTCTGGCGGGAGCGGGACGGTGGTAGTGCATCCATCGTTGCTCTACTTGACCTCTCGTGGCTTTTGATACCATTGACCATGGGACGGCTTCAGAGGATGGGAGTGGGAGGCCTTGTGCTGTCTTGGTTCACTTCCTTCCCCTGTGGCCGCTCTCAGTCAGTGTTGATAGGAGGGGAGAGATCCAACCCTCGCCCACTGCTTTACGGGGTTCTGCAGGGCTCAGTACTCTCTCCGCTCCTGTTCAACATTTATATGAAGTCACTGGGTGAGACCATCCATCACCATGGACTGAGATATCACCAATATGCTGATGATACTCAGCTGTGTCTCAGCCCATGGTGAGTTAAGTGATGCTGTCTCCTCCCTCTCGCAATGTCTGGAGGCTGTTAGGGGCTGGATGGGGAGCAATGTGTTAAAACTAAACCCTTGCAAGACCGAATGGGTTTGGGTTTGGGGTTCGTTGGTTCAGGGAGAATTACCACCTTTAGTCTTGGATGGGGTGGCATTACCCCAAACAGACCTTGTGTGTAACCTACGGCTTTTCCTGGACTCACAACTCCTGATTGAAGAGCAGGTGGCGGTCGTGGCCAGGAGGGCCTTTGCGCAACTGCGGGTTGTGCACCAGTTATGCCCTTTCCTGGATCAGTGGTCCCTACTCACAGTCACTCATGCCCTAGTCACTTCCTGTCTTGATTATTGCAACACACTCTACATGGGGTTGCCTTTGAAGAACATCCGGAAGCTCCAGTTGATGCAAAATGCAGTGGCCCACATGGTTTTGTGCAGATCCCTGTGTGCACGTGTCACCTCTCCTGCAGAAGCTGCATTGGCTGCTGACTTGCTGGTTATCACCTTTAAAGCCCTTCATGGCTTGGGTCCGGGTTATCTAAGGAAATATCTCTTGCCAGTCACATCCACCCAACCCATTAGAGCAAGGAGGCAGAACAAGGGTCTTCTCCATGGTGGCTCCATCTCTCTAGAACATCATTCCTCCAGAGATTAGAATGGCCCCCTCGCTAATACTCTTCTGAAAGGCACTGAAGACCTGGTTTTGCCAGCGGGCCTGGGGAACCCAGAGAGGAATGGAGCCCATCAGATGGCTAGAGTGATCTGCTGTCATGGGGGAGGGGGGTGGGAGTTGGCTTTTTATTTTTTGTTTTGTTTTTTGTTTTCCCAAATTTTGTTCTATTGTAATTTTATTTGATTCTTTTTGTTCGTTTTTATTGTTTTTATTGTTTTGATTTTTTATTTTAAATGTGGTTTTACATTGTGTAAACCACCTCGAGTCTCCATGGGTGAATAGAGAGCAATTTAAATTAAATAAATAAATGCTTTATTCATTTGATGAATGACCTCTGTACATTCCTATATTATACCCACATGCACACACACATATAGAATGTAGCAATAGAAAATAGAAAAATTATATCTACTGATGAAATTGATCACATTTATCAAATATTTATAAATATATTATTTCAGAAAATGAAAAAAATGTAGAACATAAACTTGATTTTTAAGTATTGTTAGACTGTTATGCTATTCTTTGGTCCTTCCTCTGAGTAAGCAGAAGTGAATATTAAGGAAAAACAACAAGCTAAGTACAGCAACAGATAAAGGCCCTTAGCTTTTCATTCTTTTTATCCACGTTTTCATAAAATCTGGTTTATGTATTTAAAGGGGAATATGCGTTGCCAGAAAGACAATTAACATATACTCATGTAACTTACTTTTGCAAGCCATCCCAAGATCACAAAATACCTTACCTTTTGTCCAAACCGCAGTTTCTCTCAGTACTGATCTAGATCTTCATCTAAAGTAAGAAGTCAGCTTCTTTTAATAACTCACCACGCTTGGGCTTTGAGGCTAGTTTTTCATGTTCTGAACTGTCACAAGAAGTCTCACTGTTGCTCTTCTTTACATGCTTGGTTTTAACCGGAAGTGGCTGAGCAGTGTTGTTTTTACAGTGTGGAAGTTTCTTCAGTTTACCCTTATAAACAAAACAAAATGAAAACTGAAAATGTCCGAACATCAATCTAACAAGCACCATTTTCAAGATGATCATCATTCAGCAAGACATTGCTTATATACAAATGCCAAGCCAGAGATGTGGAAAGCTGTGAAGATATCATAGCACAGGATAACATTAGGGCTCAGCAATTCCCCATTGCCTAAGAGTATTTTCAGAGTTGTTCCTCACTTGCTGCTGAAATTAACCTTTGGTTAATCCTAACCATTTCCTCTCCCTGCCTGCCTTATTTTAGAATCCATTAAGTAGATACTTCACTTTCTTGGACAGTATTCTCTATTATTAATTGTGTTCACAGATCACAATTAATTGCTGATGGAAACTCAAAGTACTGCCTAAGATATTTAGAATCAATATTGTTAGTAGTATCTTTGAGAAATGTTTGACTAGGATAATAGTTTTCATCTTCATCAGCACTGACACTAATGTTACCTAGCTTGGGTAATGAAATGTCTAGAAGAAAACAACCAAGCTCAGAGAGCACCAAAGACCACTCATTTCAACCGTGAGCTACAAATATTCTTTATTGGTTTTCTAAATCTACCATTTTTTCCACCTTCATCTGAAAATGACTCTCGAAAATTGAGGGAGAGCTAATAATATTGAAAAAGAATTATACACGTTGAAGTCACACACACAACAATCACATTCACATTTGTCAGGTTAGTTACTGACCACATTTGAGATTTCTGGAGGAAAAAAATGGTGAATTGAAGATGTTTCCATAAAAAATGGAGCCAATGACCATAGTGGAGTAGAGCCAGCAAGTAGACTGGCTCTCCGAAACTTGTCCAGACAAATGAGGACTTGAGATCATCCACAAATGCTTCAACAGTTGCACTTCACAAGGATACCACAAGATAATTTGTGAAATAAAGAAATAGTCAACATCAAACCAAACTCGGAGCCTTTGAAAAGACATTAGATTTAGGGAGGGCAGGGCTTGAGCGGCAGTAAAAAGATGGTTGTCTTGGGGCTCTGAGAAAGCCGCTGATACCCCTGCAGCTAGATGGTCCCAGTGGACCCGAACCATCCTGGTGAGACAGTAAGCGGAAGGAGTGCATCATGTCAATCCCAGGGACATCGCAAAGTCCCTGGTAGATTCAGGAAGCTCTACAGTCTGGCAATGGTGGGAAGTGGCCATTTTTCACAAGCCGCTAAGAAGCTATTCCAGCCTCGGAACAGAAGATGAAAAGAAAGAAAGAAGATGGAGTGTCGGTTTGGGTGAGAAATTTTTATTTTAAAAAATAAATGAACAAAGGAGTACGCCAAATAAAAGAATTATTAAAGAAAGATAGAAGACAGAAAAGTTAAAGATAGTAGCGAACGGCAAGGAACTGTCAAATTTATTTGGATTTTTATTCTTTGGGGGGAAAAAGGATTACTTTGTCTTGCTTCTTTGTTTAAATAACTAGACTGGATTGAATAAAAAAATAAGAAGAAATTAAACCTTTTCTGCTCTTTTTAGTTTAAATATTTGAAGTACTTTTTCTTTTTCTCTTGATTCTTTTTTTTAACTTTCACTGCTTAGAGCATAGAGATACAGTGTAACTAAGGAACAACTATAAGGAAAGCTAAGCAATACTGCCATCTGGAGGTCACAGGGAAAATCTTTTTCTTAAAAACAACAGACTGTAAAGTTCATTTTGACAACAGAGAAGTGGAGAAAAATAATAAGTCAGCACTGAAAACAGGTGTTGTCTCTAAATAGCTGGCATACAAATGGAAAGTTGAATAAGATTAAGAGAAAGAAATAACACTGTGACCTTGAACAAGATATATGCCTTTGACTCTGGCTTTCTGGACTGACTGAATGTTACATTGAGATTTTGCTTTACTTAGTGACATGGATTTATAAATTACAGCTGGTACCTTTCTTTTTTTTTTTTGTCTTTCTTTTTTTTATTCTGTTTTTGCTGGAGTACATATTGGATTCATTTTCTTCTCTCCTGTTTACTGGGCTTCTTTTATTTTTTGGTCCAGTTCCTCAATACGGATTAATCTGGATTGGTTTCTATATATTTTTTTCTCTTTCTTTTTCACTTCATTGATAGTTTGATTAGTAAGTGGACTAGCAAGTGGATATAATTGGGTATTTTTGGATTTGTTTGTGCTTTTTTCTCTTGGCATTCCCTTTTTCTCTCCTCTTTTATGAAGAAGTGTATGGATTTGTATTTTTATTTCCTTTTTTCCTCTTATTTTTTTGGGGAATTTCTCTTTTGGTCTCTCTTCTGGTTTTTTGAATTATATATTTTTACTCCAATTTTTTTTATTGGATCTGCTATTGGATTCCATCAACTCCATCGTTGTTTTTTTCTTCTTCCTTTTTTTCCTCCTTTTTTTCCTCTTTTTTATTGGATAAAATTGGATTACGGTAGAGAAGAACCTGAAGATTGTTTTTTATTTCCCTTTGGGCTTTTGCGAATGGATTACAATTTGATCTGATATGAGTAAGAAAATACCTATTGGATCATCAATTCCTACTTCCTCATCCCTGAGCCCAGCTGGTCAACAATCTATTACAACGATGTTGCGGCAGGAGAAAGAAAAAGAAAAGGAAACCTCTACGCAAGAAATTAAGTCAATGCTTCAAGTAATACAAGATCAAGGGAAGCATACAGAGGACAGAATGGAAAAGATGGAGGAAAGGATGGAGAAGATGGAAGGAGATATACAACAGGTATTAACGATATATGGAGAAAAAATACAGAAGATGGAAAAAAGAGGTGACAAAACAGATAAGAAAGTAGGAGAAATAGATAATAGATTGACAAGGGTCGAAAGTGAGAAAGGGAAAGATTCAGTATTTTGGGAGATGGAAAAGGCCGATTTTTACTTAAGATTTCAAAATGTCAAGGAAGAAAAGGGAGAAAACCTTAAAGAAATTATGACAGAAATATTAGCAGAACCCTTGGAGATGACTAAAGAAAAAGTGATGGATGGAATGGATGAAATATATCGAGTATTTACTAGATATACGATGAGAAACAAACTACTCAGAGAAGTACATGTGAGATTTACCAAGAAAACAATAAGAACAGAGATACTGCAGAAGGCAAGATATGATTTATTGAAATACAAAGGAAAAAACATTATAGCCTTGAAACAAATACCAAGAAAAGTGAGAGATTTAAGAAGAGAATATCAATTCCTGACAAAGATGTTAATCAAAAAAGAAATTAACTACAGATGGCTGATCCCGGAAGGTTTGACATTTATTTGGTGAGAACAAGGACACAGAATTGACTCGGTGGAGAGTGTAGAATTATTCTACAATGAATACTTTGGAGGAATACAAGATGAGAGAGCAAGAGAAGAGGAACTCAAAATACAAACAGAAATGGAAATGGAGAAGGAACAAAGGGAGGGGAGGAGACAGGAGGAGGGAGCAGTAGGTGGCCAAATGATAATTACAGAAGCAAATAGACATTTTTCATGGTCAAGAATAGACATGATTTGGATGTCAACAGATTTAATACCTAATATTCAAGAAGCAAATATTGATACAGATGGGCTGACCACAACCCAATAAGGATTCAATGGAAGGGACAGAAGAAAGGATCAAGATGGACTTTAAATAATTCAATTTTGAAAGAAAAATAATTTATTAAATACCTGGGAAAAGAGTTAGCTTTCTTCCTTAAAGAAAACAAAGCAGGAGAAACCTCATTACAAAATGTATGGGATACTATGAAAGCATATACCAGAGGGGTGATTATAACCTATACAAGAAGAAGGAATATTAAAAAGAGACAAATGCAACAATCCCTAGAACAAGAGTATAAAAAATTGGAGAAGGATCTACAAAGATATCCGCAGCATAAAAATACTAAAAATCAAATGGATATAATTAAACACAAAACTGAACTAACAGAAAAAGAAGTATTGGCACTAAAGATTAGAGGAGCTAAACAGAACTATTTTGAAAATGCAAATAAACCAGGGAGGTGGCTAGCATATAAATTAAAGAAAGAAAAAGAATCAAAATAATACCACAATTAATGAAAATGGCATGTTATGTTATGTAAATGAAGAGAAGAAAAAAATAATACATAATATATGAGAAACTATATGATCAAGAGGCAATATCAGAAAACAAAGTACAGCAATATTTACAAGAAGCAGAAGGGGCGTTGGTTCTTACCTGATACGCTTCTTTTCGTAGAGCTGTTGAGAGTGTCCAGGTTGGGAGGAGCTCCAGTCTCGGCTCTCACAGGCTGAGCTTGAGATTCAGGCACGCCTCTCACCATCACATGGTCCTCCGGGTGCGCCCCAGTTTTGCGAAGACGAGAAGGAAGGTCCTGTTCTCATCTTACTCAGGAAAAAAATATTAGTTTGCTCGGTCGAACAGCAGGGTTTCCCACCAGACGGCCTACGGGTGGGGCTGGACACTCTCAACAGCTCTACGAAAAGAAGCGTATCAGGTAAGAACCAACGCCCCTTTTCCATAGAGCTGTCTCGAGTGTCCAGGTTGGGACATACCAAAGCTTGGCTAGTCCTGCGGGCGGGCTCCCGTCTGGAATGGGACCTCTCCTGGAACCCTGATGACCCGCTGGAGGGCACGCCCAACAGGAGAACCCCTCGGAGGTTGGAATGCCTCAACGAGAGGGCCTGATGAAGGAGACGGGGCTGTCTAAAGGTAGCCCTGCCGGGGATGCCACAGATGCTTACTGAGACCGTGGGGCAAGGAGACTAGGTAGAGCGGCCAAAACCTTGTTAGGGACCCGGTACGAGGAGCCCGGGCAGAGGCGAGGATGGAAGTTCCCCTGAAAGACCTAGCCAGAGTGAGGGGAGGCGCCCTCAATAACCGGAGGGTCACCGTTGCGAGGGTGGCAATGGGACGCCCTAGGGTGTTATGGGATAGACCCTGTTGGGAACCCCCCTGAGAGAACTCCAGGTCAGAATGATGGAGGGGAGACGTAAGGAGTTCCCAAACTGTGACCTGTGCTAGTGGGGACCAA